CCCCCCGCAATTCGATAGAAAAGTTAAAGTGTTTGGACCAATCGAGATTTATTTTTATCTTGATAACAACGCGTAGGAGCTCGGCTCTTTCTTGTGGAACCGTATCTTATCGAGGAATTACAACTTTCTGTTTTAATGCTCCTTCTCAGCTGTGCACTCCTGATTAATTAGGGTTAAAGCAGCCAGTCTCCTAAATGACACTGCTTGAGTCAATTGGGGGGGGGGGGGCATAAAATAGTTGTAATTAGTGGAAATGATATACATATTTCAGTCTCAGGTTAATTTGCGAACGAACAATGCCATATTGGACACGAAAAGGGCTTTTTCATGAGGAAAAACTTTGCCCCATGAAGACAATAACAGTGGCGTCAAAAATGGGGGAAATAATACACATAAATAAATAATATTATCACATATATACGTCTAGGCATTTTTATATGCTCTATTCCACTATGAGAAAAAGCAAATGTGGCGTATATATATATATATATATATATATATATATATATATATATATCACCTGCTGGTGTGCAGTTCGTCTGTTTGTTATACATGTACTATATCGAAATGCACGTGTGGAGGAAAAGCTAGAATAAGAAAACTATCAATAATAACTTCTTGTTCGGGCTTTTAAGGTGCATGAAAATGTTTCAAAATAGTTGTCTGAGATACAATGCCTAAATACTTCTCGCTTTGGACACAAAAGGCATGAGTTCAGTTCCTCAAGTATATCTGAGAATCTTGTTCAGGGATATTAAATATTTCTGACAAAGATGTTTTCCACCTTTCCTGGGTCCCGAAATGTTCTTAACGGGAATGGAACCAGAACATGAAGCGTTTCATTCCTGTAAAGGACACACTTTTTGTGTTTTGTCTGACAACAACAATACATTCAAAGTTAAAACATGTCAACTTTGTTTGGTAACCAGTACTTTGTCAAGCCTTCAGCTGGCCAAATCTTTGATCGAATAGGCGAAATGATTTGGCCAACCAATATTTGGTCACACTGGCGGTGATTGTTACAAGACAACACAGGGTTCCATACTGACTAATTAGTATATACACCTACATGCACACACAAAAGTATAAACATACAAACTTGAATGCATACATACATTCACACACACACACACACACACACACACACACA